GAACTGTATTAGGAACTCACTTCCGCTATTCTATTCTTATTTTTGATAAATAAGCACTAGTTTACGTGGTCCGATGAACACCTGCTCATCTTGTCCTGAGGCAGCCAAAACAAACTACGAGCTCACTAATAAATGGAAATGTACAAATCTGCTGCCTGGGGTCAGAGGCCATGTGTCCTTGTTTAACGGTTAAGGCCAGCCTTACTTTTTTTTTAGGCCAAATAATGTAATTATAGAATTAGTGCTTGATTTACTTAGCTGCTGTGTTCAACAAACATTAAAGTTCTTATCCTGGATATCACAGTTCAGGGGTTCTGTGTCTAGAAATAATTTTTAATTAGCTACAGTAAGACAATAGTAATTTTCAGATATATGGATAGTCTCAATTTATACGTTCACAATGTTTAAACTAAAATGTGCACTCCTGCAGGTTACTTACTTTCTGATTGGCCAGAAGCTCCCGCTTCGTCATCAGAATCTGAACTCTATAGGAAGAAAGGAAGGAAGAATGTCATTCCTTAGATTTCCTTGCCTGGGCTCAGAAGCTGAGCAGGGTCAGGGCCTGTTAAGTATAGGTAGTCCTCAACTTACCACCATTTGTTCAGCAACTATTCTAAGTTACAGCAGCACTGAACAAAGGGACTTACAACCGGTCCCCAATGTTATGGCTGCTGCAGTGCCTCCATGGGCATGTAATCAAAATTCGGGCGCTTGGCAGCCCACCCGCACTTACGATTGCAGGGGCACTTCAACTCCCCCCCACCTATGCCCTTTTAGTCCCCTGCACTCTGCGGCCCCTGCCACCCTAGCTGACCTTCACCATCTTCTTGCTCCCACTGCTGATCAAGCATGCCTGGCCTGGCCTTTTGTGAGGTAGCTGCTGGCCGCACAAGGCTTTCTTCCCAAGATCACACACGGCAGTTTCCTTGCGAGACCTGGGGAAGATGGCTTCATGTGGCCAGCAGCTGGCTCGCGAAGGGCCAGGACCGGCACACCTCATCAGCAGCAGGAGCAAGAAGATGGTGAAGGACAGCTGGGGCAGCAGAGTGCAGGGTGGCGAGGGCAATTGTGGCTGACCTGGGGTGGCTGCAGCTCTGCATCACGCTGCTAGGGCAGCTGAGGCTTCCAGGGGCAGCTGCAGCTTTGTGCTGCAGCTCAGAGGCTTCTTGCAGCCCCAGAGCCACGGCAACCCAAGAAGCCCCTGAGCCACAGTGTGGCATGCAACCCCAGAACTGTGTGGTTCTGGGGCTGCTTGCCACCCCACAGGGCAGGGTGCAGGTGGCCAAAAGAGCAGAGATGGGGGAAAGATAGGCGGGTGGGGGGAGTTGAAGAGGAGGCAGTCCCTTACCTCACCAAGGCTTGGGGCTGGGAGGGACCAGGCCTGGAATGGCTTGGATTAGGGTGGGTCCTTGACTAATGACCAGTGGAATTTGTTTAACAACAGCAATGGGGACTGTTGGAACTGCTGCTGCTAAGCGACACAATCACATGACTTGCTTTACGACCACATCACTTAGCGATGGAGATTCCAGTCCCAATTACCATTGTACAGTACATTCAGAAAGTATTCAGACCCCCTTCACTTTTTTCAATTTTGTTATGTTGCAG